ACCACATTTTCTTGATCCATTTGTCAGTAGTGGAGCATCTTGGCTGTTTCCATAACTTGGCTATTGTGAATAGTGCTGCAATAAACATGGGTGTGCAGGTGCCTCTGGAGTAACCTGTGTCACAGTCTTTTGGGTATATCCCCAAGAGTGGTATTGCTGGATCAAATGGTAGATCAATGTTTAGCTTTTTAAGTAGCCTCCAAATTTTTTTCCAGAGTGGTTGTACTAGTCTACATTCCCACCAACAGTGTAAGAGGGTTCCTTCCCCACCCCCATCCTCGCCAACACCTGTTGTTGGTGGTGTTGCTAATGATGGCTATTCTAACGGGGGTGAGGTGGAATCTTAATGTGGTTTTAATTTGCATTTCCTTTATTGCTAGAGATGGTGAACATTTTTTCATGTGTTTTTTGGCCATTTGAATTTCTTCATTTGAGAAAGTTCTGTTTAGTTTACTTGCCCATTTCTTTATTGGTTCATTAGTTTTGGGAGAATTTAGTTTTTTAGTTCCCTATATATTCTAGTTATCAGTCCTTTGTCTGATGTGCAGCTGGCAAATATTTTCTCCCACTCTGTTGGTGTTCTTTTCAGTTTAGAGACCATTTCTTTTCATGAACAGAAGCTTTTTAGTTTTATGAGGTCCCATTTATCTATGCTATCTCTTAGTTGCTGTGCTGCTGGGGTTCCATTGAGAAAGTTCTTACCTATACCTACTAACTCCAGAGTATTTCCTTCTCTTTCCTGTATCAACTTTAGAGTTTGGGGTCTGATATTAAAACCCTTGATCCATTTTGAGTTAATATTGATATAGGGTGATATGCATGGATCTAGTTTCAGTTTTTTGCAGACTGCTAACCAGTTTTCCCAGCAGTTTTTGTTGAAGAGACTGCTTTTTCTCCATCATGTATTTTTAGAGCCTTTGTCAAAGACAAGTTGGTTATAGTTGTGTGGCTTCATATCTGGGTCCTCTATTCGTTCCACTGGTCTTCCTTCATGCACATTTCTGATCCGTCAGTTTGAAACAGAAAAGAGAAAGTCTTTAGGTTACCCTAATTCTTGAATGTTAATTAATCTGACCCTACCAAATTTCATTTTCCTTCAAAAGTAAGGAGACATCATTTTATTGTCTTTCAGAATGCACAGTTGCATATTAAACGTCTGATAGTAATGTGATGTTTCAATTTTATACTCGTAGAAGGTTTTAGGACTTTTCTTAATTTTGAGTCCTACCAGGTGTCTAGGATGTGGCTAAGTAATTTTATATTGATCTTGCTTGTTGGGCCTTTTTTCACATCTGAAAATTTTCTATTTTCTCTTCCTTTGTTCCTTTGGGATTCCATTTTGTAAGGTAATAGCACATCTGGATCTTTTCTCTATGCTTTTTAGCATTTGTGTTTTAACTTTTTTTTTTCTATGTGCTATAAAATCCTCAACTTCAATTTACAGTTTAAAAATTGATTTTAAGTGGTATCTGTTCCAATATTCAACACATCTTCACTTTTTGAACAATGTTTACAAATTTTTAGCACGAACTATGTAGTTATTATTATTTTTCTGTAACTGATGGAATCTATCTGTCTATCCATATATATCCTGTTATATACTGTACCTACTTTAAACTCATTTTGTTTGTGCTTACCTGACTCTTAGTGTTATTCTTGTTTTTATTAATTATAGCACTTCTGTTCCATAACATTTACTTACCTCAAATGTTTTTAATTTTTAGTGTCTGTTTATAGTTTAGTTGCATGTCTTGTATATACTTTTTTCCCCTTGGCCCAAACATAAATCTCCTTATCTTGTTGGTGAATGCAGGACTTGGATTCGGATAGGATCAGATAACACTACTTACTTATGATGCTTGAGGACAGGATGCGTTGTGGGACTGCTCCAGCAGTAGGTAGCTTGTCTTTTAGGCATTTGCTTCCATTCTTGGCATTGACTTTGACAGAACTGACCCATAAGAGGCACCTACTAATAGCTGTTTATTGGGCCATTAGCCTGCTGGAGTGTAGTGCCCTCTGACCCTCTACCTCATTCACCTTTTTCATTTTATTTTTTATTATACAGTTTTAAACCAGAACTCCACTTATCTTGAGGAGTATAGGGATTAATTCAGGGATTTTTCTACTTCTTTCTCCAGCCTCAACTCTTATGCAGGATAGGAGCTCTGTCCTTGTACATTCTTCACTTGTTTCCTAGTAATACTCAGAGATTTGTTCTGAAGGCAGAATCATCAGTGCCTCAGCAGTCCAGGGGCAGAGAAAATGTTAACTAACTCAGCTGTCCAACTGCTGTGCTTATCAATTCTTAGAATGTGCAGGAATCTTCAGAAACACTATGTTAAAAGCATTCTTAGCAGCACCATTTTGCACTACAGTAATCAGCTCATGTTGACTCAGGGTTCCTCTTTTTTTTTAATTGTGGATTTGTGTTTTGGAGTAGCATTGAGGCTTTGTGGTGAGAACTATTTTTCCCCTTCAGTAGCCTTTGTTTATTCTTATATTCTTATTCTTTGTTTATTCTGTTTGCCGTGGTCTAGGACTTCCACACATTTTCTGGTCCTCTGGTGACTCTCTTTCTTCTTTTAATTTATTTGTAATACTTTCTTATTTTTAATTTAACATACTAATTATACATATTTTGGGGGTGCAGTGTGACATTTCAATACATAACGAATCGGTCAAATAGTGTCATAGTTAAGTCAGTGTAACCGACATATTACCTCAGACCTACTTCTTTTTGTTGGGAATGTTTGAAATCCTCTCCACTAGTTATGTCTTCAGTTATTGTCAACTATAGTTACCCTTCTGTGCTATAGAACATTAAAAAGAGTTATTCCTCCTATCCTTATTCTTATTTGTCAGTGCTCTTATTATGGTCCCATTCTTTTTCCTATGTTTTTATTTAGGGTATGTGATTGGATAGGTGGTAACAGAGGCTGAGAATTGAATCCTCATAGGGTTTTTGTCTCCTTCCCCTTTTTTGAAGGGCCCCAGTTTAGTGAGGAAATTAATAGTGGCAGAGGTTGGGAGATTCCAGTTCTTTGCTTAGCTAAGTCACAGCACTCTTGTACTTTTAAAAGATCCTGTTCAATTGGGAAAATACAAAACAATTTAACCCAACATTTATCAATATCTGAACTTATACAGCTCACTTCTGTGTTGTATAATAAATTGTCTAGTTATGTCTTGGGTTCCTGATAGGAGTTTTTGTTTGATATTATATCTGATATCACATTTCAAATGATTGGAATTGACAAAAAGATACTGAAATACCAAGAATTATTGAGAATGTATTGTAACACATACCAAGGATTTCTAAAGATACCAAAATAAGACATTGAGTAGTGCTTTTATGGAGATTATATGGATCTTATTTTAGTTCTGTGGTTCTTTTCCCCTCCCCTCTTCTCCCATCCTTCTCCCATCCTCTCCATCCCACCCCCCCACACGTATGTAATTTTCAAATCACTATGCCATATCCTTAACCCAACTTAAAATGCTTAATTATACATTGAATCTGAAGCTATAGGGAAATCAGAACAAGTACATAGAGTATAGGGACATTGCAGACACTAGTGAAAAGTAAGACTGCTCTGTGGATCATGAGGGCCTTTTATAAGCTTTGCTCTTATGTCTTGTGCTGTCCACTCTTTTTTGTTTTTCTCCTTAGAATGACTTAACAATAGGGGGAAGCCATTAAAGGATATTAATCAGGGGTTGACATAGGATTTCTGTTGTGAAGAGATCACCCTGAAGGCCTTTAAGATGAATTGAAATAAAATGAAATAGATAGACCAGTTAGAAGGCCATTTCTATGCTGAGCAAGAACCATGATAGAGGCATCAGCAGTTTCTAAGAATGAGTAGGGAGAGATCAGAGCAAGATGCAGGAACAGAATCTGTAAACTTGAGTTGCTGATCAGATGTGAGGGCAGAGAGGAGTTAGAAGTTAAGTGCTACACCTTGATTCTTGCAGGTCTGTGATAAAATACTATAATCATCAAAAGGCATTGACTTTAAGTACCTTTTTTGTCATAAGAAGGCAAATGTACCTATGAAAGAAGAGCAGTTGCATCAACATTTGATCAAATTGTAGACCTTTTTTAATCTGTAGGACTTAAAAGTTGAGCTTTTTGGTCATTGACTCTTCTGCTTTACAAACCTGAACCTATGCTATACTATAACCCATTTTCTTAACTCTCACATATTAGACACACATTTTACATTTATTGAAGCTGTTTGATTTTCCCTATCTTCATAACAAATGTACTGATAATGTTTATGGCTAATTGTATGCAATTTAATTTTCAATTGTGGTAATCATTACTGCTGTTTTTATTTTATTTTTTCTTCCTGAGGCATTGTCAGCTATAAATGTTGAAGAAAATTATGCCCTTTGGGGTGATTTTCAATTTTCTCACTTTTTTTGTGTCAGTCATGAAGGCTTCAGATTTGGATTATTAAACACTTGAGTCCCTAGTTTCCACAGTGGACCATTTAACACTTTCTATACACTTGAAAATGGAAAATTTGACCCATTTGTATGCTATTCGGGTGTTTTCAAAGACCCCATCTTAATTTAGTAGCATCTGTGTCTGTCCTCAAAACCTGTATTCTATCTCTTGGTGTACTGGAAAGGCCTGCCATGTGGAGGCAAAACAGAAGTAGTTTCAGCATTCATTGGTGATTTACAGAAGCACTCTTGGGCCTTTTTCTGAGCTCTGTGCTGGGAGGAGCATTGGCAAAAGAATTCTGACTTCTGAACCACACGAAGTACTATAGCATTTGTCTGGTGACATGTGACTATATAAGTGTGTTTCCTTTACAGTGAGAAGACTATATTCCACAGATGCTCTTACCACTAGGGTCCCTGGAGGTTCAGGACTTGTTGATGTAATCAGATTTTTTCCTTCTCTAATAACCATTATTCCCTGAAGTGTGGAAATTGGCTGAGTTACAAAGTATGATTTGATGTTCTTCTCTGTTTTAACCCTCCAGAAATGTATCTTCTGCCGACACCGGGTTAAGAAGGTCTCTGGAGCCTGCATCCAATGTTCCTATGGCCGCTGCCCAGCTTCCTTTCATGTCACATGTGCCCATGCTGCCGGGGTACTGATGGAGCCTGATGATTGGCCTTATGTGGTGAACATCACATGCTTCCGACATAAGGTCCTCCCAAACTTGGTAAGGCCTGCTGTCCCTTCCTTGATGCAGAGACTCTGGGTTTCCTCTCCTGTGTCACTCATTACTGAATGTCCAAACTTTGAGTTCCTTGAGGGCAGGAATTGCACACTATTACTCATTTGCCCAGGCCCGGTCATCATCTAGTGCATACTAGGCACAAAGAATATTTACTGAGTTGTGTGAGTGAATGAACAGATGAATGAATAAAACTGGACCCATTTTGGTCTTGGATCTGTGTACAGGGGCCTCTGAATATGGCTTTGCAGATTATCAGATCCAGGGTGTGGGGAGATCATTTCTTGGAAGGAGGTGATGTGAAAGGCACAATTTGAGATTATGCAGTGAATAATATGCAACTTTACACCAGGCCTTCAGATTTTATTTCATCTGTTTGAGAAGAAACATCAAGCAGCAATATTGTGAAAGGAGTAGGAGAATGGTTAGGTACTTTTGGGTCCTTGCTGCCTAAGACAGGATGAGGGGAAGCATGGCAGCTCTGGAAGGAATAAGTACAAGTCTCATAGAAAAATAGAAGTAGAGTGAACATTTTTTTATTTTGGTCTTTTTCATTTCACTCAGGACTTAACTTTCTCTAGGAAAATAGCATTTGCAAACAAATAATGTGAATTTAACTGTAATTCAATTTAGCTATCCTTGTTGAGTAAAATTATGGTCTGTTTAAAAAGCCTAGAAAACTTATAACAGTTTAGAGCTAGTGAATATGTCTTTGTTAGTTTTCCAATTCACTGTAATCATTTTTGGCTACTAAAAAGAAGCCTAATTGTATAGATGCTCTGCTTTGTAAACTTGCTGCTCTTGTTATCCCAGGGAGACTTGGCCACAGGCTATTTGCAACCTAATATGCTCATCCTAACCCTAATAACCTTTTATGAGCAGCCTGCCAAGTTGTCCGTAGTAGCTTGTGGAGCCATGACCCATACACAACAAATCTCCCAGCTCTTTGTAATGATTCCAGCAATTTCCATTGGCATCTTAAGAGATACTTGACATTGTGGGTTGTGACTCTGTGCAGATGTGTGTGAATGTCCAAATGTACAAAATGATGTCACCAACTGTCATATCTATTTTAGTTATTGCTAAGAATAATATTGTATATTCTGCAGAAAATACATTTTAACAGCTTTTTAAAAATTATACTAACAACATATTACATTACTGTAACACTTTGCCACTTGTAGTATACCATCAATACCTTATTAGATGATTCGTGTGAATGCATTTGCGATATGAGTAAGGTCATGACCTCTAGAGCCAAAGTGGTTGGTGTTCATATTTAGATCCTACCAGTAAAAGCTCTGCCAACTTGCATACACTTTTGTATCTGTGAGCATCAGCTTCCTCATTTATAGAATGTGGGATCAAACCTTACTGTGTTGTTTTCAGTTTACAGCAGTCAAAAGATAAAACTTGGATTATTACCATTTCTTCTACTACTGCTGGTGTTACAATCTTATATGATCTAGGTCACATGAGTAGTAGTTTTCCTGTTTAAAGGATAAGAAAGGTTCAATTCCATGCCCAAATAGATGCAGTTATGAGCATTTCAGGTGCTGAAATGTAAATGTGTAGTCATTCAGTCCATACTCTAATACTTGTTGGAATCCTAACTACAGACTCAAATGTTGCTTAGAGGTGTCCATCTATATAGCTTTGTGTGGAATCATATGCTCTCATTTTAATATCCTAATACTCTGTGGTTATGGCTGAGTATATTGAAGTTGCTTTTAAGAGATCCAGTTTCATAAATGATAATGAAAGAAAATACTTGATTTTGAGAAACTACTTTCCCCTAGAGATACAATTTAAACTTGGTATTTTTTGTGAAAGGTGGGAAAACAAAATTTAAAGCATTACTTGTGATAGCTTTTCCTTGTGAGGAAAAAAAATTGCCTTTGAGCTTTCTGTGAAAACACTATGGACACTGGACTTCTGACATAGACTCTTGGTAGCTATAACTGTCCATTCTTCTTTAATTAGATTCTAAGTGTGGATTCCTCTCCAACAATATTTTAAACTAACCAGGAGGATTTTTAGAATCTGGCAACTTTGGTTAAAAGCATTATGATTATCCTCTTGCATGAAACATTCTTTCTTTTCAAACATGAAAAGTTCACATTAACCCCTATATTTCACTTTTTTTCTAAACAATGAATGCTAGGGGATATGCTCCCCAAAGTAGGAGCTATAGTATGTCTATGTGCTGAACCATGCCTCAATTATTTGAGAGTAATGAGCAATTACTGAATCATAGCAGTGAAAACTATAAAAATAAGGTTAGGCTAGCTTGCCAGTTTGATCCAATTGTTTACAGAGTAGAGGATGATGCTTGTGTAACTTAGAGGAAATAAAGTATAACTTACTGCTTTAGTAGTATCTCCATTTTTACTTACATAATGGTTATAACTCTTTTGTTTTTCTGTTCTTCTCAATATTATTGTCTACATCCAACAGGACCATCTTAAGACAAATTCCTTTGGTGTCATAGGTTATTTTAAATATACTGGTTTTATTTAACATTGTTGCATTCATGAAATAAAATCACTCTGGATAATGGTATAAATATCTGATTAACTGTGCTGCACTGTTTCATCAGGCAGTAATCAGACTTTGTAATTAGAAAGGCTAATACTTGAAAAATATGTAGCTTTAAAATTCTTGCCAGGCGCTAGTGACTTATGCCTATAATCTTACCTATATAGGAGACAGAGATCAGGAGGATCACGGTTCAAAGCCAGCTTGGGCAAATAGTTCTGCAAGACCCTATCTTGAAAAAAACCCTTCACAAAAAAAAAGGGTTGGTGAAGTGTCTTAAGGTGTAGGCCCTGAGTTCAAGCCCAGTACCATGCAAAAAAAATTCTTAAAGATAGAAATGAGTAAATAACAAAAAGTGCACAGCTAATCCCTACTATTTCACCCAATTTTAGTATGTTTTTGTAAAACACAGTTTTTGAATGGAATCTGTTTTTCAAACGTAAGGTCTCATTTGTGACTTAGGAAATACAGGAAGCTGATGTACCAGTGCAGGTGAGTGGAGTGAGGAACTGGATTTCTGTAGTGGTCATGTCTTGGATTTATAGACACCTTGGAGAGGTTACAGACCTTGGTAAGTCAGATATAGTGGGGAAGAAAGAGAGAAAATTTTAAGACATTCAGTTAATTGAGAGTTAATTACAAGTGAGAGTTTTGCCTGCTTTCGGTTAGGCCTCCTTCTAATACGAGTGAACTGGGTTCCAAACACAGTTGAGTTGAATCATCTTCCTGTTTCCTTTTTTATTTTCCCTCACAGTCTAGAACTTAATTCATGGTTCAACTCTGCTCCCTTTAATTTCTCTTACTCTTTTTTTTTTTTCTTGAAGGGAACCAGACTTTAGCTAACACACTCCTCAGAAGTGACCAATATAGAGTCATTTCCAAAACTTCTTGTGTATGTCTTTCAGATCTTGGGCATCATTGTATGTTGCTAGTAACAGAATTATTTTGGTTATTGTTTTTCCTTTAAGAATTTTGATATTCTATCCAATGAAATTTTTTATGACTAACTCTACTGTTCTCAAATTTGTGCATAATTATTTGGTATTTGTATATAGTTTATGTCTTTTACGTAAAGTTTATTTTCAAATGGTCTGCTGAATTTGTAGTGATGTTATTGAAAAACAAGGAGAGAGTTCTGTCCAAAACAAAGATAAAGAATTCTTGGCAGGAATTTAAAAATAAAATTGCAGTGATTCAGACCTGAATCTGATCAATAATCCTAAACCTAGCATATGCTGTTTTTTTTTTTTTTTTTTCCAGTGCTGGGTTTTGATCTTAGGACCTCATGCTTGCTAGGCAGGCATTCTACCACTTGAGCCAATCTGCAGCCCTTATTTGAGTGGGGTATTTCCAAGATAGGGTCTTTCAAATTATTTGCCTGGGCTGGCTCCAACTTTGATCCTCCTGATCTCTGCCTCCTGACTAGCTAGGATTACTGGTGTGAGCTACTGGTGCCTGGCTCTAATATACACTTTTAAAAAGAGAACTCCTACCTTTCTGTCAATAGAAGTGTTTTTTTGAGATCTTAGTCCTTTTATCCCACATTATAGGAAGATCAAATTTGCCTAGGAGGAAAAATATTTAGCGTAGACTTTTTATTTACATTTGGAAGCAATCTTTCCCTTGTTCTCTGTAATAGGTAAAACTTAATTACCTATTAGAGGATAGAGCTTTTTTTTAATGTTGTTGAGGCAATTAAACATATCCTACTTCAACTTTTAAAAATTCTTTTCAGTACCTCCTCAATTTGCTTTCCTCCTGCCATTTCTTCAGCCATTTCCTTGGAAAGGGCTGGTCAGTGAGCATAAAATGTTTCTCCTCCATCCTCTGTCAGTACAGTGGGGCTTCAAGAAGCCTACAACAAATCCGATACTCTTGGCTTACCTCCCTTTGGGAATTCCATTCTTTCTTAGCTTCTTAAGTAGTGTAGTTATGAAGAGCCTTTTGCTCTCCTGCCTTTTGCTGAGCCTGCCAATTAGTCGTCAGACCTGGCTGTTGGGTGTAGAAGGAAATGCCACTGACATAAATTAATTCCCTACAGCAACCTCACAGCCCTAAACTAGAGGTCCTTATGTCTCTGTTGAGCCACCCTCAGCTTGCCCTCTATGCTTCCCCTTTTCCAGATCTCTTTCAAAATCTGGCCACTTGATGAGGATCTTTGTGCCAATCCCTATCTGGCACCAGCTGGAGTACATCCAGTCCCACTTCTGATGTTACATTAAGTATTCAAAGGGGTTTTTGAATTTGTGGGAAGAGACATCAGATGTTTCCATTGGAGGTTTCAATTTTAATCCACGAAGGATACAGAATGTAATCAGAATGGAGAGGCTCTGCAGGATAGGGAAGAGGCTCAGTGCCATGGTGTAGCATTTCTCCTGCCCACCTTTTCCTTGCAGAGCTATCGAGACCATAGTCTACACTTGTTTGGCTGATGCTGGATCAGAGTA